GCCTATTGAGCGTGTCTAGGACATAATTGGATGTCGCCTCAGCATACCTCAGAACCTCCAAGATCTGACTACTCAAGTTCATCAAGCGTGGCTGTAGGTCCCTTAGGTTAACATTAAGCACCTGCACTGTTTTACATCGCAGTCTTAGAGATGGATCCACAATTTATTGATCAACCCTATTTTTGGGGGGCACTCTGTATTAACCCTTGATTCTGTAATCATTGAAATAGGTTTATTTAGTCTTGTGTGTTATGTCTATCTGTCTACCAAATTTCAGTCCAATTGAATTCCTCCTTGTGGATGGGGTGTTTTTAATACTTCTTAGTATATTTTGAAGTGAATAAAATTTATTTAAATATATATAGCGTATGGATAATTGTTTTAACACAAGAAACAATTTGTCGATATTTCACTGAGATAAGGAGCCAATTAAATGTCTTATTAATAGAGATTATATAAGAGAATCAATTAATTGTAATTTATGTGAGGGTGTTGATATGAAAAAATTAAAAAAAAATAAGACTATAAAGTATCTTTAACTATTGTAGTCTTAGGGTTATTCCGAATACCTTATGAAATATTCTGTATAAATTTACAAACTACAAACACCACACTATATCCTATAATTGGTATCTTAAAATATTTACTCAAATCAATTTACTCACGTATAAATTGCCTTGGGCATCTTTCACTACGGATATTTATTCAATACTATAACAGATAAACGTTTCAATAGTCTACTTGTATGTACAAGTGAAATGTACACAAGATTGAGAAGTGGCGCAATTTTTATTAAATGATTTTTCGATTCATTGTAAAAACTATAAAATAAATTATCTCCTATTATATTATAAATTTAAAGAAAGAATTATAAATTTAGGTCAAAATTATTAAATATTTCGTTAGTGTTTTAAAGAAATATTTAATAAACGATTAAAATATCCTTAAATAAAATTCATAAGAATACCTATAAAGAAAATAAGCCAAACAAGCTGCGGCTCAGGCTCGCGTTATGAGGCCTAAGCTGCAACTTGGCCTCATACAATACCTTACATTTACCAAATAATTATACATATAAAAATGCGAGGCAAGCTATGGCCTGGTATTTTTACATATATAATTTTTTGGTAAATGTAAGGTACTGTTATATCAATGGCTTAGGTCTACGACAAGTCTAAATAAGCCGTGGTAAACTCCATTCTATTCGAAGGATATAGAAGTGGAGAAAACTGTTTGCATAACTAAGACTTATGTTGAAAACTTAACATATTTTATAAATACATTTTATAAATATTTATTACTTCTTAATATTAAAAACTTCTTTCTGTAAAAAAATCTATAAATTAGTTTATTATCAATAAAGATAAAGAATGAAATTACAACATCTGTTAGATTAGAAACAAGTTATCATTATACCTGTAAAAATTATAATAAGAAAGAAGACAAAATTTTATTTATAATATAAAATTTATATTTATTGTGCATATTTTGAATATAATATTGTTTAGAATGTATAATTTTATTTTATTTTAAAATTTAGATGAATTTAACTCATTCCACAAAAATTTTATTTTCTAAATAATAATAATAATAAAAAAAATTAAAATTCTCAATATACAGTATTTTATTTGTTCGAAGAATAAAATTATTTGTTATTAACTTCGATCTATTGAATTTCTAATATATGCTATCGAATGTTTTCTTATTCTATTAACCAAGCTCCAATCGTCATTGTCCCAACTCAAGTATGTAATCATTACATTGAGAAATGGCATAATCATTCTTCTACCATAAACAAATTCAAGAGAGAATGAAAAATTACGGTCTATAAGATAAAAACTTATCAAAAGTTAATTTAAACATTTATATTTATCTAGTAAATGCATTTAAAAATATATAATTAAAGATGATAAACTAATAGTGAAAATTGAAGTTTATATAAAAATGCTTAAAGTATAACTAAAAACACTCATCTCTTCGAACATATTTTATATCCAGGAAAAATATTTCATAGAAATTTTAGTTTTAAATTAACGTTGTCAACTATAGCTATATTTATTTAGTATATAACCAAAAATAATTAGAAAAACAATTGAAACAAGTGTTATATCGAAATAAATAGGCCTTTGTCATACAAACAAACAATTGAAAATATAAAATAAAAAGTTATTTTTTTAATGATAAATTAGAACGGATAATTTCTAAAAAAAAATTATTCATAGAAGACACACAAATAAATTTGTGTCGTCATAATTAATTTTGTTTTTAACATCATAAGAACACAAAAAACACAACGGATTCATTCTTCTGTTAAAAGTTTTTTTCAATTTAACATGTAAATCTTTTAAGGCTCTATAAAAGTTCTTTATAAAGGCTTAGAGACTTTTAAGAGCTTCTTTTAGAGACTCTTGAGAAGGTAAAAAGAACTATTATAAACTGAAACTTTGGCATTAATTTCTTAAAAATTTATTGAATTTGTTCAGCCCACTTCATTAATTGCATTATTATTTTTTCAACGTAATGAATGTTATAGAAAATTCATTACGTTGAAACGTTTTCTTTTCGAAGTAGAAAAAAAAGGAATTTAATTACTTATACAATAAATAATTATTCATATATTTTTGGAATTAATTTTCCAAATACTTTAAGCTTTGATATGATTTCTCGAACTTTATTCCGCGTAACATCGCATGTAGGTCTTTAATATAGGTTAAACGATATCGTGATAAAGGTCTATTTATAAACATTTTACAAAGTATCACGAAATACTTTATATGATGTGAATATTGCTAGACTTAGTTGATACTCATATAATTATTATTGATCTAAATTATTCCGATGAAATTAGATTACATTCGTTCAATGTCAGGAATTCATCTACAATGGAGATGCTATTTATTTCGTATTGATAATGGTCTCGCTTATAATTAGCCCACCTAAATCAAAGTTTTCATAGGTTAATTTCCTGTATATTTACTATAATATAAAATGTAATAGATAATAATATTAAAAAATATAAATTTTTATACTTTGAAGAAATTTTATATTCTTTCCAAATCAATTGACCATGACAATTGAATATGTTATTAATTTAATCATACTATAATATCATACATAACAAATATAATTTCCCAAAGACATCAATGCATATTTTGACTTTTCGTTTCTATTGATCTAAAGAAATTCTGTTCAATATGAAAATCATAATTATTCTAAATGAAACGAAATATTATAAAGGGAAACTTGGCATTTCTTTCTCTTTTAAAAAGTGTTTAATCGGATTTGTCCAGTTCAATACTAATTTTAAACATTCATATTTTTTATAAAGGAATGGATCTTATATAAAATATCCCAATTTTCAATGATGCTGATTTTACAGGATATCTTCAATAAGGAAAGTATTTATATCCTTTTTCTTACAGTACATCAATTATAGGGATCGCATTGTAAGTGATAGATAAAAATGTATCAGTAAATATACCGGTAATTTGATGATAATACCGGTAAATTCAGTAAAAAAAACAAAAAAAAAAAATAGGTAAACACGTATTAATTTAATTTTTGAAGCCGAATATTTATATATATACAATACATACACCTTTACTTGTATTTATATTTTTATATATTAAAGACAGAAACGTCAAACGTTTTTATTTAAACTGAAAAATATATTTATATCATTTATCTTTTGAATTATTACTTTACTGTTCTTTACAACGGGCCAAAGATTCAAGCTCGGTACCCTAAAAATCTCCGAATACATGTTTTCAGGGTACCGAGCTTGAATGATACAGGATAGGACAATTTCATTGGTTAGATAGAGAAGAATTAATGTCTTTCAACAGAAAAAAATTAAAGATAATTCAAGACATTCAAAATTTTTCTAATACTAACTCTAACACACCACACAGCCCGAATATGAAATGGTAATCGGCCAATTCATCAAATTTCGCAAAAAAAAATGGATCAAATATTTAAACTCAGTACCCTCAAAAACCCGTAAAAACATTTTTTGCTCGCTAGTAACTTTGTATTAAGTAATTTACCTATTCAAATGCCATCATCCTGCTGGTCAGATAGAAATTTAGGCTTATTGCGGGCGGAGGATTGAAGTTAATTCAACCAAAAGTAGTCCTTCACTTGAATGAGAGCCTAAAAAGTTTCTGAAATTGTGTCGAAATGAGTAAAGAACAGACTAACAAACTTATATATATATACAGTATATATTAGATAACATATTATTAACAAAGAAAACATTAAAGTTTTCCTTACAGTTTCCCTAGTTTTTCAGTTTTATACAGAAACATATTTTTCATTCGATGACTCATATTCAACGGATTTTTCAGCTGCCGATAGAAATGCATAAATCATGCATTTAATAAACTTTAGTATCGATTAAATGCAAATCGATTCAACAATATTAAAATTGCTTGAAAGAAGGATTAAAAATAAATATATCCACGTGATAACATATTTAAACAATAATAAAGAAAATTCCCCGAAAACTTAATCGTAACCAAAACATTCTGAAAAATACATACAGTATATATACTGTATATATTTTTAAAATTTTTTACGTCAAAAGTAAACAAACCTCGAAAACGTTTGTACTAGATACTAGATTGTTACAAAATTGATATATTATCAAACTATTATTTTGTCTGGCAGATAAAAGTATTGAAGGGCGAACACATGAAACATGACTCATTAATGAAATCGCCACATGCGATTTCATCATCAGATAGCGAAACCAATAATAAAACAGATCAATAGTTACAGCAGAGGAAAAGAAAATTAATTATCGGTATAGTAAATTGTAGTAGGCCTACTAGGAAGTACGAAGTGGAAAAAAAAATTAAAACACGAATAAATCGATCGTATCGAGCGAAAACGCATGTACTGTACAATATTTGCATTTCTATTTCATTTACAGAATTATTATCGATTAGAGTATATTCGAATTGTCGATGATGTCATATCCTACAAATTATGCAGGAGGCGTTGCAATCGTTTTGCGATCTGACATCAGAATCATCGCTGGATCGAGCCGGTCTACAATATGGCGTGGATGAGGTTCGATTCTTTCTCTTTAATATGAACTCTCTCCGTAATAACATCTGACGTATACATATATATATATATTTAATCTCAGTACTTAAGCTCGAGAATAATTCGTCCACATTATGTTTATCGTCGATATAAGCTAGAATTTCTTAATGGTAAAGAAAAGATGGTAAGATTGATACTAATCTAATTCTCGTGTATACATTGCAATATATCAGCTTTTTTTCTTATAATATTTAACTTTCAAAGTATCATCAGTGATGAAATCAAAAGTGATTACTAGGAAGACAATCCAGTTTGTTTTCCTTGTAACCCGCTTTGTAGGCTTTTTCCACTTGCAAATCGAATATTTAATTTATTATAACTTAAAAAAATATGTTTTATAGTTAACCTAATAGTTTTAACATGCAAACCTAGTTACTTGTAAGTCACACCCTTTAAATGTTTCAGTGCATGCTTCAAATGTTAACAAGATAATGCTCCTGTCATTCATGTTAAGTTCTATGCTCCTTTAAGAAAAAGAAATGTGTTTGTATTCTTTTATATATATAATATTGTGTGTATAGTTTATAGTGTACAATTGTATATAGTACTCTATTACAGTGGTCTCCAAAGTGGGGTATGCAAAGTTATAGTTAGGGTACGCCAAGTCTCCCTTCAAAATACAGTGTGTGTTCTGTCCACAGTCTGTCTAATCTTATGATTGTCCTCCCAAAGAAGTAGGCTAACCATCACTTGAAATCGTACATGGAAAAAATTCAAATTGCAGGTAGCGGGAAATTTAGCAGTAATTATATTATATGGGATACAACTTATAAGGGTACGTGATCAAAAAAGTTTGGAGATCACTACTCTATTATGTACTATATACAGTTAATTTTGAATTATTTATCTGTATAAAACTGCTATTAATATATCAGTATTTTGATATATTAAAAGAAGTTTTATGATGATTAAAATATAAAATTTGATGGGAAATTATATATGATCTTAATTAATTATCTCTATTGAGTTTATATTGTAAATTTTAAAATATAAATGGTGATAAGGAGTAATCTTTATTTTAAATATAAATGCAGAGATCATCCAGAGTGATCCGCCAATTATCACGCATGGTTTGTTCAATCTTCGCGACTGTCTAGTCGGAAATTGACTGTCGCTTCTTTCTTTGTTGTGAATTTCAGTACGACCAGCTGCAAACTTCCTAAACCACTTACGGATGTTTTTGACATCCATGCACGACTCGCCATACACTTCCATCAATTGGCGATGAATTTCAATTGATTTAACGCGACATGGCGGCGAGCTAGTATGATATGGGCATACAAAAACTACCACAGTGCCTACAAAAATGCATCGACGGAAATGGCGATTATGTAGAAAATAGATAAATGTTCAAGCTTTAAAATGATGTAAAAATTATTGAAAATAAACGTTTATTTGTATTTCTAAAAAATAGGAGACGTTACTTTTGGGATTACCCTCGTAAATGTATTAAATAAACATAGACTAGAAGTTTCAATTGTAGACGTTTCTGGTGTTTTAGAATTTAATTATTGATACAAATTAAAGAATTCGCAATAAATGGTTATAACAAAACATAATTACACACATTCACATCATGATACAAGATTATTATACACATGCAGCTAAAAGTCATATAAACGATGGAGTTCTGTTATTATTCCTCAATTCACGCAAGAAAACTTAATCGGAAACTTCTGTGAGATAAACTTTGCATTAGTTTATCACGCTAATAAATGATAAATTGTACTTAACGTTATGCCTACATTCTAATAATAAATTNTATAATTTTGTTAATGCATTGATTTTCTGAGGCAAACATTATTTTTTTATAATCTGTGAAATAATATGATAAATTTTGTCAGCTAAATTATTAAATTTATTTATTTAAATAACTTATATCTATAGTGTATATTGCAATGAAAATAAAATGAATATAGGAACTAAGCAATTGCATTTAACTGCAATATATTTTAATAATAATTTTTGAGAAATGTAAATTTAAGAATGTAGATTAAGTGATAAGTTAAATATTCCAATGTTTTATAATATATAACTTTTAATAAAATAATAATTTATAATTTCAGTTTAGTAAAGGTATTGATTACTGATTAAGTTTGCAGTACATAAAATGGTATAATAGCATGTTACATACAAAGTATACAAAATTTATCATGATATTAGAAAGAACTCTTGTTAAATATATTATATATCACTGAAATGATAAATAACTATGATGAATGTCTGTAAAAATAAAAGTAAAAAATATTGTAAGCTATCCATTAAACATGTGCCAATTGTTTGTTAGCTAATTATATACATAACAGAAGCATTTTAATGGCTAAATATGAAAATTAACAGAATAGAAATAATAAATAATTAAACACATGAATTAAAAAAAGCATTTCAATATAAGCTTAAAATTTTAATTGTAAAATTAAGGATTTCAAAAATTTAATTATTTTATAAATTAATGAAGTCCTTGTGAATTAACTGGTGATAGTTTATTTTCATGTACACTTTGATAAAATAGTAAATAAGATTTAAATTATGATTTTGTTAAAACATTTGTTGAAGTATATTCATCATTAAACAAATTATACATCTGGACACTTATTAAAATATACTTAGCAGTATTGAAATGTATAATTTTGGGATGATGAATTTGTTGATTTAGACTTTTAAATAAGGTAATTGGTTCATGCACTATACTTTATTATCAACAGATTGCTGAGGTAAAGAAAGAAAGAAGAAAAAAAAAGCAAAGTTGATACATTAATGTAATTAATTTTATTCCAAAAGAAAAAGAAAATTTATCATTTCTTATATGAAAATTGACTTTTCTAATTACTTCAGCAAAGTATTTTATAAACTGAATATCTAATTAGAAATCCAGAGTTGCAAAATTGACAGAAAAATAATGATAAAAATCTGTATATTTTTAAAATTAATTTTTTAAACATTCTTTTTGATTCAAGTATACTTGCTGTTTTTAAGTGCTTGGATAATAAGATAAAAAAATTTTTTTTTTACACAATTGAATGAAAAAGATAGTTTTGCTTTAATTCTTTCTATACAAAAAAACATCTTTGAATATTGCAATCATTCATACAGTAGTATTAAATATTTATATAATCATCATCTATAGAACTAGAATAATGATTATAATGTTTGCTATCAAGTTATTTTTGGTTGTCCAGAGCATTTTTTTTTTCCTTCTATATTTCAGCAAAATTTATAACATTTCTTTTTCCTGTCAGGTACAAACTTTAATGTGGAAAATATTTTAAGGTTTTGTAGCATAATATTGCTATTATATATTATATTTTTTCACATTTTTAGATCACGTATTCAACTGCAGAAATACTGCTTAAGGTAAGAGAATACCGACTCTATTGATTCTGTACCTGACAAGGTGAAGTGAGATACCTGGCTTTATAATAAATCCGATACTGATATCACATCATGTCACAGGGTTATTATGTTAAATCTACAGGTATATTTTAATGTTATTGCTATCTCTTTGTCTGCTCACCTATTTACTACGTTTTTCATGTATTAATATTTTATTCTGTACATGTTTAGATGGAAATATGAAAGATAAAAAAAACACTATTTCTAGGATACAGAGATTGAAAAGACATTTGAGTTGTGGATTTGGTAGACTTTGTAAGTTCTTTTCACATTTTTTTTTTTCTCGTTCTTTCGTGTTTATATATGAGGAGTGAATGTTAATGCGACGGGAGAGACGAACTCGCAAACGGAAATTTTAATAATAGTGAATGGGGAATTTTAAAATTCATTTATAAATTCTAGTGGGGATGCAGTTTTAATGAAGGCAAAAATTCCATTTTGGTACGGTTTTTTCGCTTGGAAAAACACCCGGAAATTTATCGTTGTCCTCCAATGATCCGTCATCAACTAGGTTTTGGTTGGAGGGCGATGTTCAGCCGACTTTCAGGCGCCGGTTCGCGACACGATGACAGGTGCTGTTCGATTGTTCGTCACTCCCTGCAAAGGTGGCTTCTGTTCAGAAGCTCTAACACCGACACTCACGATGTTTAATATGTGTAGGTTTCTAAATTGGCCTAATATTGTAATTTATATTAATAGTAGTATTAAAAAAACAAACAAAAACTACACTCGTATTTGTTTATTTTCAGCCGTATCCAAAGAAGACATTGTTCCCGAATTCGATCAAGACAACGAGGTAAGTAGATTTTATATATAGATTCTTCTTACCAGGTTTGCTGATACAACATTAACTATTGACACGCTTAGGTTATAAGGAAGACGGAAAAGCGCGGAAGAAAGTTCCATTAGTTTATATGACCACGTATCAGATAGAAACATGGTCGGAATAGGTTTTTTTTCCCCATCTTTCCTTTTCACCGAATCTCTAGCACAGTTAATTTCCATTAGCCGTAGCTACTAAATAAACCTTAGAAACACATAATGGAAGAGGAACACTTTCCTTTCGTTCCGATAGTTTAATTTAATTAGGATATCTTCGAGGAATCGTTAATTGGATTATCTGCATCGATTAACCGCAGAAATAATGTTAAGTTTTACAATTACTTTCGGGATTTATCTTTAAAGAGTAAAATTGTCGTCAATCGATTCCATAATTATTCCCGCACTTTGTCTAATCGGTAACAATAATAAAGTTTAAATTTTCGCAATATCTCCGGTATTTAGTATTTTGATTTTTCATTGTCGTCATCGCATTGTTTTATTTTTATCTACTTTCTTTTTATAGAATATCGAAGTAACAAAGGTTACTTTGAACGGATTAGACGAAGATAGAACGGAAATTTTATGCCCGTCAACAGCCACGACGCTCTGTACTCCCTTATCCGATACGGTGGATAACTATAAGACTCTATACGAACCGAACGGCAATATAAGACCTCCACCTCGCACAAGCTCTACCCACAGCCATCTAGATAATTATAGCAAAAGACACGGCAAACACGGTACGTTGAATTTTAAAATGGAACTAAAGACCATAGGTGTCCAAGAACGTCATTCGAGTGAAATATTTGCAGCAGTTAGTCCAGTGAAACGCCAGTGGTCAGCACAGGAATGGGTCATCCCTCGCGAAGAACTAGCCAAAATCACAGAACGAGAATTCCGATTACATATACCACGACGACCCAAATCCGAAGTCATCTGTGGAGGAGAGAGAATGAAATCCAGTCGTTACTCCGGAATCCCATTCTCGGTTTGTATTTATTTTTTTACTATTTATTACGTCACATCCTCTTTATGTGTACGTACGAGTATATATGTAGGTATACATATATTGACGTAATTAATAGGCAGGATATAGCGTATATATGTAAGTTGTCTATCATAATTTTTTTGAGGGGGGATTTGTCTCGGTTTTGAAAAGATGATGAGGCATGTATTATCTTGGTGGAAGTTTTTGTGCTGCAGAAATGGGCACTCGGAAATTAAGGTAATTAAGGTTGTTATTTTCGATTAAATTGGTTTATAATACGCAGACGGTGATATAAATTGGTGCTTTGTTACGTGTTTTAATCTGCACTGATTTGTTTATTGATTGATAGCTGTCTCGCTTGTTTTATAAGCGTTTATATTCTCTTAAGACAATATAACAAGAATAAAGAATTGTTCTATAGTTATAAACAAATCTATTGATAAAATTTTAAATAACTATTATATATTGATGTACTAAATTTAATTTACACCTACGTTTGAGTTATTTTAAAAAGTAAACTTCCACTATTTTAAGCAGAGGATCAAGAAAATAGTTAACAAAGTTTGATTTTTGTGATATTTCTGTTATTTAATTTAACGAATTTTATAAGCATTGATTAATAACAAATAACGAATTTAGAAAGTTTAAATTTTATATGAAAAATTTATATCTAATTGAATGTAATTTTATATTTATTTTTTAAATTAATTTTATTTTTTCTTTTAAATGTCGCAACTTTTAGTCTGGAAACTTATATGAAAAATTATTTTTACGATTGAATTTGCTCAGAAGCATGCTCTTTATTGAGGTCAATTATTAATCTAAGTTAATATGTTAGTCTTTAGAAAATGAATTAATCCTCATCACTGCTTAAATTTATTTTAGAAATCGCGTGAACTTAAAGCATAGTCTGTATTTTAGGTGGTTTCTATGTCACAAAGTTTCATAGCCCCCGCTATAAGATGAGGAGGAAGTTAATGATAACTATCGAGTAAACTTTAAGGGGGAGAGGAGATAATGATAATTACGTCAAGTATAGGCCCTAAGGGAGAAGGAAATGAAACGATAATTACTGCATTAACTATAAGGGAGAAAGAATCTAACGATAGTTAATCAATAAACTATTAACTAGGGAAGAATCTAATGCTAATTATTAAGTAAACTATGAGGAATTGAGGAGTCTAATGATGATTACTGAGTAAACTATAAGATAGGCAATTGTAATGATAATTACTGTGTAAACTTTTAAGGAAAATGTGAAATGTAACGATAATTCGAATAAAGTATGAGAGAAGTTAGTGAGGATCGTTAAGCCAGTAGAAAGATAGTTATTGAGTTAACGGTAGGTTTAAATCTGTTAAGAGACTTTCGTAAATAGCGAATGTTACCACGAATCATTGATCATTTTCGTTTTATAAATATGAAATAGTTTCTTGGCGGGATGTAATAATTATATTATTTGCAATTATGTTTCGATATTCGAACGTCTTAAAACTTTTTTATACCGTTTTATGCATTGTTTTTTTAAATGGAAACTGATGTAATAATGTAATCAGGGAAAAGATTTTATAACAAGTCTGAACTTGAGGAAGAAACAATGCATTACTTATAAGGGGAAAGAAGGTGGTGCCATTAATTATTTCATACACTAAACGAGAAAATCGAAACCGTTAATTTATCACGTAAACCGTGAAGGAAAGTGAAATCGAGAACACTTTCTGTATTTAATCTGATAAAATGTTTTGCAATTTTCAACCAATCTTCTAGCATTTATAAATTAAACGGGGAGAACAGTGTAAACCAAGCAAATCCCATCGGATAAACATATCTTTCTAAGAAATTACTGAGAATAAGAGCGAGATCCCCTTAGGACAAGCATATTTATCAATAGTAGAGGGGATGGTGGTTGCTATTGATTCGTTGGTAATTTTTCACGCGATTTATGAGGTGCCGGTGACAAGTCTTCTCCAAAGACGTTATAAATGTTGTTTGGTCGTGTCTCGACTTCTAACTGCAGCCTTCAAAATCGGAATACATCGGGAGCACTCGAATCTGATTATGGAAATGTCCCGTTTTATGTCTTTTTATTGCCGATTAATGAACTCGTTTCGCTTTTAGTTTGCGTGATGCGTTATGCAGAGCTCGTACTTTTCAAGAGCCCGTTTGTTGACCTACGGTTCGTTGGATTTGTAACAATGTCAATACAACTGTTTTCTGTTCGGATGGAGTATTCGATTATTTTTGTTTTTTTTATATATTTATCTTTTGGAGGTTTCTAGAATGTACTAATAGATCCATTCTGTCTAGACGATGTCGTTGCATCGGTGCAAAAGGCTTCTAGCCTTTGCAGCTAATTGGCATGTCGCCAGCTAATGCTTTGTTGAAGTCGGGAAACAACTTAAGTTTCTCACACGTAATTTTTTTTTATGTAGGAAATATATTTTATCGTAAATATATTTCTGGGTTTATTCTTAATACCCAGTGATGTATTTTAATTAAAATTAATTTTAGCAGAACAACACAGAACGTCTAATTTTTCTTCATTTTTAATTTGATTATATTTTATGTTTAAGTTAAAAAAAAAATTAATATCAGACATTTGTTATGTGAATGTTAAAGTTCAATGTGCTCATCTACTGTATCGATAAATATTTAATTTTATAGAAAGTTTCTTTCTTTTTTATTTTGTTATCACATGTATTTTTATATTAAGCAACTTTTTCAATTGCTTTAAAAAATGTTGAGTTTTTATAAAAATTCAGCTTTTAAATTTTTATAAGAAAATAAATTTTTAAAAAGTTTTTTTTTTTTATTNTACCTATATATATATGTATATATATATATAAGTTGAGAAATTTGAGTGTTGCATAAGATCAAATGCCTTATCTATCTTTTGGTGATTGGTAATTATTGGAATGTATCAGATGATAAATCTTTAAGTGATAATGAAATGTTTTTGCACGTGAGGGAGAGGGTCAGTGGTGGTTGTGGAATGTCTGATAGCCATTAGTGTTTATCTAATCATTATTGCCAAACATCAATTCTTGTGACTGAGAAGCTATTAGAACAAGTCTTATTACAAAGTGTGAGTAATTAATATATTCCTTAATATTCCAACTTTTTACAGTTTTGTTAATTGGGGTTTTTTTAGTTTATCTTATCCAATGTAAAAAGTACAATTGGAAAGGACAGAAGAAAAAAAATGATTCAATTTTCATTGCTGAAGTGAAAGTAGTTAAATTAATAAATAAAAGGATTTTAGTAGTGTAAAATCAATTTTTGTGATAAATAAATAATGAAAGATTGTTTTAGTGAGTAAAAGAGATTAATCAATTGGATAAGAATCCCATTAAACTCTTCTGCAGATGGTAATTATGATTCATTTAGTCAATCAACTATATTAAATTGGCTAATTGAATTATTTTACTTTTTTTTAAATGTCTTGTTTCTAAAATTAAATTGTGTAAAAAAATTATATGAAGTTTTATGTTATAAATTAATAAATTTTAGTTAATGCTAGTATTAAATTTGATTTTGTATACTTATTTTTTGAAATATTAATTCTTTCTTCATTTTTTAAAGTAAGGTATTAATAATTAATAATCACTTCACAGAAAGGAATAAATTTCAAATTTTTCGGAATAAAATTATGCATTAAATAATGTAAAATGTTTTCAATATGATGAATGATATTAACAAAATTTAGAAAGAAAGAAAAACCATTTAAGAAAATTAAACAATATTTTAGTTTTGTTTAATATTCAATAATTTCTGTTGTAAATTTTTTATATTTTTATTCATATAAAAGCAATTATACATTAAATAATTAATTATGAATATAAATTTGTACTACTAATTACTCAATTTCTTGAATTTATTTAATTTTTATTATTTATTATAAACTCGTTTGATCACTGTTATATTATTATCTGTAGGGAGTCTTTACTATGAATCATCTATCTTGGTATGTGTACATGTACTTTTTGTGTGAAATTTCATTTACACAATAAATGCATTTTGGAATATAAAATATCATTTTTCATCCTGTTTAACTTCAGTGTATAAAAAAGAATAATTTCGATTTTGTAATAGCTTGATTTTATTTTGTTTTTTAAAACAGATGTAATATTTAAAACTTAAAATACAAATATATTTTATTAACATTTTTATTAAAAATTTTATATAGAAATAGTATGAATATATTAACTTAAGATTCAAGGTCTAATTACTTCCAGAAAATGATATAAAATAAATAAATAACTTTCAAAGAATCAAAATATTTATTTAAAATTTAATATATCCTATTTTATTTGGTTTATTTTCATTTAGTTTACAAAATATAACATCTTTGACATTTACATCTTATTATTATTATTATATTTAAATAATATATCAAAACCTATTTATTTTTGTTTAATTAAATGTTACAACTCATTATTTTTGCACTTGGGATTTTGTAGGACAAAAGGTAAATGAATTTATTTAATGAAAAATTCAATTTTGACTCTAAAATGCATAATACAATAAGTTAGTTGAATCATAAATATTAATATATTTACTTCATTTAAAATAATTATATGAAGTTTATAATAATAATAAAATGAAATATATTTTGAGAATTGTTGAATTACTATTTATTATTAGTATGAATGTTTTTGTACTTTTAAACAATTTATTTTTTTTATTTTTTTTAGAATGGTGTTTTTTAACTTGTAATTTGAGTAGATTTTTTTAAAAATAAAAATAGTTAAATATATTTGAAATTTTTAAAATATTAAATGTCATTGTACTAAACTAAAATGTACAGTAAATAAATTAATAATAATAAAACTTTTAATTTTAGATTTTCGCTGGATGATGAAATTTTCTTTAAAAAATAAAAAAGATGTAGTTGTTTCCAAAAACTTGGGTGATCATCATATTTCTTTTTAAAAAAATTTTATTATTTTAAAAAAAATAATAATAAAACTTTGTTATAAAATTAAAAATTTTTTAATATA